GTGGCCAGAGGCGCCTTCCTTCAGCTGAGGAAATTATACCAGCTATGGCCCTACCTGGACAAGCGGAGTCTCATGACAGTTACACACGCACTGGTAACATCTCACATAGATTACTCCAATGTGCTCTACGTGGGGCTGCCTTTGAAGACAATCTGGTGACTGCAACTGGTTCAGAATCGAGCTGTGCGGCTGGTGAGTGGTGGGGCTGCTAGGGAACATATCAAGCCAATTCTGTTTAAGTTACATTGGCTACCAGTTGCTGCCTGGGCCCAATTCAAAGTGCTTGTTTTGACATATAAAGCCCTAAACAGCTTGGGCCCTGGATACCTGAAGGACCGCCTCCTTCCATATGAACCTACCCGGCAGTTAAGATCTAGCCAGGGGGCCCTTTTCAAAGAGCCGTCCTTTAACGAGATAAGAGGGAGGGCTTGTAGAGAAAGGGCCTTTGCCTTTTTATTGTATTTTAAATGTTGTAAGCTGCCCAGAGACCTTCGGGTAGCGTGGGTGGCATATAAGATAAATAAATAAACAAACAAACAAACAAACAAACAAACAAACTGATGAAAGTTTTGTGTAAGATATGTCATTATAGTAACATTCTAGAGATTACAATGATTTTAAGGTGTGGTGAAGCAGGTAAAGGTAAAGGTTCCCCTTGACATTTAGTCAGTCGTGTTCGACTCTAGTGGGCAGTGCTCATCCCTGTTTCCAAGCTGTAGAGCCAGCGTTTTGTCCAAAGACAGTTTCCGTTGTCACATGGCCAGTGCGACTTAGACCCGGCACGCTGTTTACCTTCCCACCGAGATAGTACCTATTTATCTACTCACATTTACATGCTTTCGAACTGCTAGGTTGACAAGGAGCTGGGACAAAGCGAAGGGAGCTCACTCCATCACGTGGATTTGATTTTACGACTGCTGGCCTTCTGACCCTGAAGCACATAAAGGCTGCTGCAGTTTAGCCCGAAGCGCCACCACGTCCCTGTGGTGGTGAAGCAATCAGCACACAAAAGGGACTCCGAATACAGCTATAACCAAACTCCCAGTCCTCATTTTCTTGTAATGTTTAAGAGGCCAGATCCATCTCACCAGACAGAGGAACAGATGGACAGCAAAAGGAAAGGTTTCACAAAAAGAATGCTTCCATAACATCCACAACAAGTACCTAATCGCACACTTTATTCACACACTACATATGTTTCCTTACTTGGTGTGCAGAAGCAAATCAAATGGCTTGTGCAATACAGTGTAACACATGTAGCTTCCTCCATCTTTCAGACTAGGACAGCAAAATAGTAGAGGCTCATCAGTGGGATTTAAAAGATGCTGAAACACACCGTTAAGTAGACGGGATACACATGGATGTGCAGCCCTTCCTCAAAAACCCAGCTATTAACAAAACAGCAATATGACTGAACAGGAAAGGACACACTTGTGATGTACTGTATGTTTTTTTTTTCACCCTACTTATCCAATGAGGGGTAGTAAACAGGAGTGTTTGGTTCTTTTCACATAAAGACCCTTCATAAAGAATGCAAGTGTTACAGATAGACCATCAAGTTCTCCAGCACACCAAAGAAAACTAAACTAGAAATAGGAAGTCTTGCCTCACGTAGTTCTAAACTTTTGCCTTATACAGCTTTTTTTTAACATTGAAAAAAGTAATTCTCAACTTTTTGTCTTCCACTCAGCCCTAAAAAGGAGGCGCTCATGGGAAACAGGTGGCTCTGTGGTTCTGTCAGGAAAGCCTTTTGGAACTGCACCTGACTGACATCAAAAAGGCTAAATGTGGCCGGCTGCTATTATCAGCGCAAGGTCTTGGGGTGGGGAGAAATTATTGCAGCTGCCAACGTACTCCTGGGCACAGCTGGCAAGCCAGTATGAGATCCGTGGTGCTGGGCACCCCAAGGTTCCCCAGGGAGGCTAACTGAAATGACTTTCCTTTTGGGCTGCAGCTGCTCACCTCGCCTTCCACGGTCTGTGATGGGTAACACCAGCGTGCCCTGAATAAGCGCAGACCTGCTGCCACCTTTGGCTTTACTAGCTTGCTTGCTTCATCTTCCGTAATTCAGGTCTGACAGAACATATAGACGGGCTGAAGGCTTCTGTTCCTCCCTATAAAACACCTACAAGATGCACAGGACAGAAATCTGCACTATCGGTGGCCTGTCGCCAGAGCTAAAAGCAGTTGTATATTAGGGAAATGTGACTGAGGTAGTCCTTTGCGTTTAAGAAATCAGGTGCCAAAGACATTATATTTACTAATTTAAAATATTGTTACCTCACCTTTCTTGTTAAAAAGGGCCCAAGGCAGCTTACATCAGCAAAATATAATGTTTAAAGCTAAAAACAATAAGTATACTGAAAAAGATTAAACGAACACCGCGCTAAGAAATGGTAAACAAAAGCAATACTAAAAACACATTCAAAGCGGTAAAGCACAACCATCCATTTCAAAAGTTCACTCAGGCAGCCAAGTCCCTGAGGGAAGGCTTGCCTGAAGAGAAAGCTCACGTCCCGCTTATGGAATGAACGCGAGGCCTCCCGTGAGAGGGAGTCTGGGGGGGAGCAGCCACCGAGAAGGCCCTCCCCCATGTCCCACCCAACGCACCTGCGATGGTGGTGGGACCGAGAGAAAGGCCTCCCCTAAGGATCTTGACTAGAGATGAGGGGTCTCTGTATACAGATACGAATAACCCCCCCCACACACACACAGCTGGATGTCATGAGGATCTGGGCCCCTGGGGGCTCGACCGTCTGCTCTCCCTTCCAATGGGTCCAGAGCTCACGGTCGGCTAGTCACTCCTGGCAGAAGGACGGAAGACGAGTCTTCCTGCCAGGCTGACGAGTGGATGGCCGACTGCGAGCTCTGGAGCAACTGGAAGGGAGAGCGGAGCTTGCAGCGGCAGCCGACGCGTGTGTGGATGGCCCGGCCCCAGGGAGCTAGACCCTTGCAGCGGCAGCCGACGCGTGAATGGATGGCCCGGCCCCAGGGAGCTAGACCCTCGTTATGCTCAGCTGTGCATAACGAGGGCATTGTATACAAATTGTATACAAATACCCCGATCTCTAACACTAGGGCAGGCTCATAAAGGGAGACACAGTCCTTGAGATAGCTTGGACCCAAGCCATTCAGGTTAGAATCAGCACTTTGAATTGTGTCTAGAAATCCATCAGCAGTCAGGGGAGCTGCTGTAATGGGGAGCATAAGAAGAGCCCTGCTGGATCAGGCCAAGGGCCTCTCTATTCCAGCCCCACCAGATGCTTCTGGGAAGCCCACGAGATCCCTGCCTCCTGATCCCCCTTCCCCTGTATCTGGCATTTTGAGGTCCCTTCCTTCTAAGCCTGGAGATTATACACCCCCATCATGGCTTTTAACCTGTGATGGACTTTTCCTCTAGAAATCTGTCCAATCCTTTTCAAAGTATCCAGGACAGATGCCATCGCCACATCCTATGGCAAGGAGTTCCACAGACTAAAAACATGCTGGGTCAAGAAATATTTTCTTTGGTCTGTTCTCATTCTCCCAACGCTCCATTGTAGGGGATGTCCCCTGGTTCTGGTATTGCGTGAGAGGGAAAAGGGCTTCCCTCTATGCACTTTATCCATCCCCTGCATAATTGTATACATCTCCATCATGTCTCCCCTCAGGCAACTTTTCTCTAGATCAGGGGTCTCCAAACTACAGCCCATGGGCCACATCTAGCCCGCCTTGCCATTTTTTTCCGCCCCATTCCCTTCAGCCCGCAGACAGGCGGGCAGGCATCTGGGCAGGCGGGTGTGTGTGCATGTGTGCGTGCGTACATACGTCCAGGCGGATAGGCGCA